GAGCCATAGGCGCCGAGCCGGTAAATTCTTAAGAAATAAGATTTTTTTTTTTTTTATACAGTCTAACTCTGTTGCCCAGGTTAGAGTGTCATTGTATCAGCCTAGCTCACAGCAACCTTGAACTCCTGGGATCAAGGGCTCTTCCTGCCTCAGCCTCCTGAGTAGCTGGGCCTATAGGTACCCACCAGGATGCCAAGTTAGTTTTTCTATTTTTAGTAGAGATGGGGTCTGGCTCTTGCTCAGACTGATCTTGAACTCCTGAACTCAAGGGATCCTCCCACTGTGGCCTCCCAGGGTGCCAGACTACAGGTCTGAGCCATCATATCCAGCCTAAGAAGTAAGATCTTAAGAGAAAGAGTGAGCAGACAAATACATAAGTATTTTGACTCTGAGGAGAACCAATGGCTTGACTGCTTGGCAATCTTTTTTTTTTCTTATATTTGGAATAAAGTGCTGGGTGTGCTATTGTCTGTTGTGCTGAGGCAATGGAGAGGGGGGAATAAATTCAGAGTTATGGCTAAATTCCATCTCTTCAATACTTATACATCTTCGTAGGAAATGAGCTGATGTATGCCACTGATGATAGAGGCAGCTTTTGTACCTGAGATTCTAGCATTAGCTTGGACAAATATTTCCGTTCCTCTGTAGTAAATGTCTCCTTTTTCAGTTCTTCAAACCTCTTGGCAAACCAGTCTTTCTCCTCCTGGCTCTCAAGTTGGGCGGTTTCAATAGAGATCTGCCCGCAGTAGATTTCATTGAGATAGGCCAGTACTTCCTCCAGAGAGGCCTCTTCCTTCCCCATGTTCAATAATCCTAAAAGGTAGAATCAAAGGGATCATTCTGAAGAACAATCAACCCTGCAGCAAACTGATTCTGGAATATGCCAAAATAATTACCTCAATTTAGAGCACTTTGTGCTCAATAACATGGGTCATTATTGACACTTATCTAGATGTTTCTAAAGGTACAACTAAAAATATGGTCAAAGGCCAGGAAGTAGTAAAACCAGGAGAAGAAAAAATAAAACTTTCTTCACACAGACAGAGCCCTGTTGCTTTATGCTGTTTCGTTCTACAGTACTTTCAAAATGAAAATTAAAACTTACCTTTCATCTGCTTTATAGCTATAAATCATAACATTTTATTTGAAATATTTCCCCAAATCTTCAAGTCTTATCAATAAGGTCCATTATTAACAGTTGGTCTCAATGTGAGTTTAAACATGGATTATTTATTTATTTATCATTATTTTTTTGGAGACAGAGTTTCACTCTGTCGCCCTGGGTAGAGTGCCACATGGCGTCATCATAGCTCACAGCAACCTCAAACTCTTGGGCCCAAACGATCCTCCTGCCTCAGCCTCCGAAGTAGCCAAGAGTGCCCACCATAATGCCTAGGTAGGTTTCCTATTTTGAGTAGAGACAGAGTTTTACTCTTGCTGGTCTCAAACTCTTGAGCTTAAGCCATCCACCCACCTTGGCCTCCCAGAGTGCTAGGCTTATAGGCAGGAGCCACTGTGCCGAGCCTAATCATGGATTAATATTAATAATTTCAATGGGCAAATTTTATTTTTTTTATTTAATTTTTTTTTCTTTTCTTGAGACAGAGCCTCAAGCTATCACCCTGGATAGAGTGCTGTCACATCACAGCTCACAGCAGCCTCCAATTCCTGGGCTCAAGGGATTCTCCTGCCTCTGCCTCCCAAGTGGCCGGGACTATAGGCGCCTATCACAACGCCCGGCTATTTTTTGGTTGCAGCCATTATTGTTATTTGGCAGGCCTGGGCTGGATTCAAACCTGCCAACTCAAGTGTATGTGGCTGGCGCTTTAGCTACTTGAGCCATAGGCACCAAGCCATTTTTTTTTTTTTTTTTTGTGAGACAGAGTCTCATAGCTCTGAGGTAGAGTGCTGAGGCTCATAGCTCACAGCAACCTCTGACTCTTGGGCTTAAGCGATTCTTTTGCCTCAGTCTCCCAAGTAGCTGGGACTACAGGCGTCTGCCACAATGCCCAGCTATTTTTTGGTTGCAGTTATCACTGTTGTTTAGCAGGCCTGGGGCAGGCTCACACCCCCAGCCTTGGTGTATATGGCAGGAGCCATACTCAATGAGCTACAGTGGACAAAATATTTCTTTACTCAAGATCTAAGGCCTTGATTAACATTCTCAGTTGTATGGAAAGTATATATAATTGACAGAGTATGTCTTCTTTTTTTCTTTTGATCCACCGGTGAGAGAGTATGTCTTGATTACAGAATGTAGTTTAAAAATATAAATGAAGGCTCAGCGCCTGTGGCTCAAGTGGCTAAGGCGCCAGCCACATACACCCAAGGTGGCGGGTTTGAATCCAGCCCGGGCCCACCAAACAACAATGACGGCTACAACCAAAAAATAACCAGGCGTTGTGGCGGGCGCCTGTGGTCCCAGCTACTTGGGAGGCAGAGGCAGAAGACTCGCTTGAGCCCAGGAGTTGGAGGTTGCTATGAGCTGAGATGCCACGGCACTCTACCCAGGGGGACAGCTTGAGACTCCTGTCTCAAAAAAAAATATATATATAAATGAAAGAGGGCAGTGCCTGAGGCTCAGTGAGTAGGGCACCAGCCCCATATACCGAGCGTTGCAGGTTGGAACCCAGCCTGGGCCTGCCAAACAACAATGACAACTACAACCAAAAAATAGCTGGACATTGTGGCAGGTACCTGTAGCCCCAGCTACTTGGAAGGCTGAGGCAAGAGAATCACTTAAGCCTAAGAGTTGGAGGTTGCTGTGAGCTGTGATGCCACTGCACTCTACAACACAGTGAGACTCTGTCTCAAAAAGAAACCAAAAAACACCCAGGCATTGTGGGGGGTGCCTGTAGTCCCATCTACTTGGGAGGCTGAGGCAAGAGAATTGCTTAAGCCCAAGAGTTTGAGGTTGCTGTGAGCTGTGATGCCACGGCACTGTACCAAGGGCAATATAGTGAGACTCTGTCTCAAAAAAATATAAATAAATAAGTTAAAATTAAAAAACAAAGAATAAGAAAGGAACTCCACCTCCTTTGGGCAGCTCCCTGTTCATCCCTGGGGAAGATGAGCCGTACCTGTGGTGTTGAAAGGGCCCTGCAGCGTCTGCACCAAGGCTTGGATTTCAGGTACACTCTCCAGCAGGGCTTGTCCAGCAAACAGAGGGTTGATTTTGGCAGCTTTATGACCATGCTCACAGTATACTGTCACCAATCTGGCAAGGCCATGATCCACTAAATCAGAGGGAAATAAAACAATACAAACAGTTTAGGAAATGCCCACAAACCACAAAAATCAACTTTTTTTTTTTGAGACAGAGTCTCACTATATCACCCCCAGTAGAGTGCTGTAGTATGACAGCTCACAGCAACCTCAAACTCTTGGGCTTATGTGATTCTCTTGCCTCAGCCTCCTAAGTAGCGGGAACTACAGGCGCCCACCACAACACCTCGCTATTTTTTTGTTGTAGTTGCCATTGTTGTTTGGCAGACCCTGGCTGGGTTTGAACCCACCAGCCCCGGGGTATGTGGTTGGCACCCTAGCCACTGAACGACAGGTGCTGAGCCACAGAAATCAGTTTTTTAAAGAAGCAGTTGTAGCTTTAAGCAGTTTAAATGGCTCCTACCCACCACATCCATAGGCAGTTTTGAGGATAAAGACTATCCACATCTAGAAAACACATTTAGTGGGGGCAGTGCCTATAGCTCAAAAGGGTAGGGCACCGGCCCCATATGCTGGAGTTGGCAGGTTCAAACCCAGCCCTGGCCAAAAAAATTAAAAAAAAAAAAAAAAGAAAAGAAAACACATTTATTGCCTTAAATTTATCTCAATACCTAAAGTTGGTAGTGGAAAAAAACAGGAAATAGAACTATGAGTGTACATTTACAAAAAATAATTACTCATATAAATATCAGAAGGAAACACTCCAACCTGAAGACAACTTAAAAGTTCAGATTATGGATAAATGGAGTCTTTTTTTTCTCCTAGTTTCTTGAGATGTGTCTGTATCTTATATTTTACATAAAAACAGACATAGGCTATAGTCTAGAAAGTAGATGGGAAGGGAAGCGGGGATAGGGGCAGAGGGAGGGTATTTAGGGGGACCTCACCTAACGTGCATGATGCAATGGTACATTTCAAAACTATTAAGAAATGAAGGCTTGGCAGCTGTGGCTCAAGTGGCTAAGGCACCAGCCACATACACCTGAGGTGGCGGGTTCAAATCCAGCCCAGGCCTGCCAGGCCACAATGATGGCTGCAACCAAAAAAAATAGCCGGGGCATTGTGGTGGGCACCTGTGGTCTCAGCTACTTGGGAGGCAGAAGCAGGAGACTCACTTGAGCCCAGGAGTTGGAGATTGCTGTGAGCTGTGATGCCACAGCACTCTACCCAGGGGGACAGCTTGAGGCTCTTTCAAAAAAAAAAAAAAAACCTAGAGTAGTTGTTTTCTGTTACTTATAACTACAAGAACCTTAGCTAACACAAAAAGAATTTGTTTTAATTATAGTAGGGATATCTATATCAATTACTTTACCTCTGCTATAAGCAAATATTGGGGGGGGGCACAGAATGGTGTTTTGTTTTCTGGAAGAAAAATGCTCATATTAGCCAGCATGAAGTACACTGCCAAGTAACTTAAACTAAACTTAGTACTTACATTAAAAGTCAATGTAGTTATTTTTCATCATCCGATCATAAACAGCCTCTCCCCAAAATAATCTAGATCAAATCCACAGTTCTATTTTCATTCGAAGCAGCATAAGCTTAAAGCAAGTGGGAGCACCGAGCATCTATAAAAACATTAGACTTCCAAGAAAGGGAATCTCATAATTTGAGTTCCTTAGAACCCTGTTAAAATGAGATAGTGACCTCTAACTTTACCTTACCTTAGGAATTTCATATATAACCACATTAAAAGCCAAACAACTTTATACCAGAATACAATATTTTGTATGATAAACTCAGACTTAGGGCATGCAACTGGATTCATTTTATATAATATCCCACCTGAAACACAACAGGCTTTGAAGAGTAAATTTATTTTGCCAAATATTTTTTCTTGTAAAAAGACTCTGAACTCTAAATAAAAAGCTTGTTCTGGTTCTTTTAGCTTTTTTAAATCCTTTCTTAAATCACTACCAAGGTATATATATACAAGTAAGAAAGGGACACAGATTGAGAAAAAAATGATAGTGACTATTTATTGAATACTAACTTTTGCTGCACACTATGTTGGAATTAATTTTTTTTTTGAGACAGAGTCTCACTTTGTTGCCCTGGGTAGAGTGCAGTGGTATCATAGCTCACAGCAACCTCAAACTCTCAGGCTCACGTGATCCCCTTGCATAAACCTCCCAAGTAGCTGGGACCACAGGTGCCCGCCCCCATGCCCTGCTGGTTTTTCTATTTTTCAGTAGAGATGGGATCTTGCTCTTGCTCAGGCTGGTCTTGATTGAACTCCTGAACTCATGTGATGCACCCATCTTGGCCTCCCAGAGTGCTAGAATTCTAAGTGTGAGCCACCGTGCTCTGGCCAACTATGTTGTTTCTTTTCATGCACATCATACTTAATCCCGCAAAAACTCTGAAATAGGTGTCCTTATCTGCATAAGGATTAACTGAGACCCAAAAGAGATAAGTGACTGGCAAAATGTGACACAGCCAGGTACTAAAGAAGCTGGCATTTAAACTCCTGTGTTTGACTTCAGTATAGCATTTCATTTGTTACACCCAACAAATATTGAAAAGTCCCAAGTATATAGCAAAAGAGATGAGAGAACTAGACATCATTAAGATCCTTTTTTTTTTGTAAGTGCAAGAGCTAATGTCTTTAGCCTTCTTCAGTTTGTATTTGTGCTCCAGAATTATCTATGTTTTCAAAAATCTCTAATGCATTCAGACTTTCCTATGACTCCTTTAAAAGTTTCTGTTATTCCCAATATGCAAGAACCCTACAAGCTGCTTCCACCACTGAAGCTTGGTGAGAAAGTTAGTAACCACTAATGCTGTCTGGGGTCCTGGGGCCCCATCTCCTGATGGTCTCTAAATTCTGTCATTTTTTATAATGGAGGTCCCAAAACCTCTATGATAAAATTTATACCCTTGAATCGCTACTTCTAACCCATCTCCATTTTAAACTGGGATGTCTGATAAATAAATTCAAGTTTCCTTGGAAATCAAAGTTTACAGAGGTTAAAGTACAAGTTGTTACTAATAGCTTGCTACAAAAAAACACTCATCACGGGTCAAATTTTAACTAGTGGTACTCTGACATCTGAAAGGTTACTGGAAGCAAATTCAATATCTCTTGAAAGCCTTAATACAAGGGAAGCATTAGTGAATAATGTGGTTGTTGATTTTAGCCAAGGTAAACATTTAAAAACAGAAGTCCTGTGAAGGGTAGGGGAGTGGGGAGGCTCTGTACCTCCTCCTATCTCACTGGTCATCTTCGATGTGGGAGATGCCATGTGGCCAGTTCTAGCAGGGTTAGTCCTTTGATTCACTTTGCCAATACCTAAAAGTTATGGACATCATCCATCATACTAACTCAGTTATTCCTCTCAGCCAAGATGGTACCGTGGGCCACCTGGGAGACATCGTGAAAAACACTGAGGGCCTTCCAACATGTCCTTGGCCTCCTCAGTTCTAGTTAGCAGAAATGACCACAAGCAACACTTATATAAGACTTAAGGCTCGGCACCTGTGGCTCAAGTGGCTAAGGTGCCAGCCACATACACCCAAGGTAGCGGGTTCGAATCCAGCCCAGGCCCGCCAAACAACAATGACGGGTACAACCAAAAAATATAGCCGGGCATTGTGGCAGGTGCCTGTGGTCCCAGCTACTAAGGAGGCTGAGGCATGAGACTCGCTGGAGCTCAGGAGTTGGAGGTTGTTGTAAGCTGTGATGCCACAGCACTCTGCCCAGGGGGACGGCTTGAGTCTCCTGTCTCAAAAAAAAAAAGACTTAAGACCCAAAGAATCTCAACTGTCATCATCAGCCAAAACAAAAAAAGTTGTTACTTTTTCTAAAACATGGTAATAGTGTATTACCCAGTATATGAAGGGCTTCCTTTCTTGATACTTGATGTTACAATTATACATGGAAAATTCAAACGAACTAAATGTCACCAATAAATTGCACATATAGAACATTATTTACATTTCTTAGTAGGAATAAATTATCTAACAAATATTCAGTTCTATAAGAGAGGGGAATATAAAACAATGTCTCTACCAAGCATGATCCCAATCTAACTCAGAATAAGATCTCTAAACAAAACTATACACAAATAGAAAAAGGTCTTGCAGCAGTTCTCAATCTGTGGGTCACAATCCCTAAGACCATTGGAAAATGCATCCTGCATATCAGATATTTACATTATGATTCATAACAGTAGCAAAATTACAGTTATGAAGTAGCAAAGAAAATTATTTTATAGTTGGGAGTCACCACAACATGAGGAACTGTATTAAAGGGTCGCGGCATTAGCAAGGTTGAGAACCACTGGAAAGAGTGTAAGGGGTCCCAGTACTGGGTGGTAAGGAAGCTCAGGTTAGGATGGTCTGGGGAATGGTGCCAGGCCATGGGGGATGGGTAAGAAGCAGAAAGGCCCACAACGAGGGAGAAGAGCTTTGGAAAAAGGTTGGAAAAGTGGAAAACCGATGTCAGAGAAGAAAGAAAGAAGCCAGAATGGGTCAATAAATATGAAAGCACTGAATATCACTTGAAAATTTTTTCATTTTATTCTGAGATGCAAAGTAGAGCCTTTGGAGGTCTGAGTTTATTTATTTATTTATTTTAGAGACAGAGTTTCACTTTATCACCCTCAGTAGAGTGCTGTGGCATCATTTTTTTGTTGTTGCAGTTTGGCTGGGGCCAGGTTTGAACTCATCACCCTCGGTATATGGGGCCGGTGCCCTGCTCACTGAGCCACAGGCACCGCCCTGGAGATCTGAGTTTAAAAAACAAAACAAAACAAAACAAAACAAAAAACTGACTGGGTGCCTGTAGCTCAATGAGTAGGGAGCCAGTCACATACACTGAAGGTAGCAGGTTCAAGCTTAGTCTGGACCTGCTAAACAATGACAACTGCAACCAAAAAACAGCCAGGTGTTGTGGTGGGCGCCTGTAGTCCCAGCTACCTGGGAGGCTGAGGCAAGAGAATCACTTAAGCCCAAGAGTTGGAGGTTGCTGTGAGCTGTGATGCCACAGCACTCTACTGAGGGCAACATA